CATCAAAGAAGTGCGCGCTCTCACCGGCCTGGGGCTGAAGGAGGCAAAGGAGCTGGTGGAGAACGCGCCCAAGGAGATCAAGGCCGACGTCAAAAAGGTGGCGCCGCCCCCCCCTGCCGTCGCCACCGTAGTCAGCACGTACCCTCACCCCTCACCCTCGCCCTTCATGCCTGCAGGAGGAAGCGGAGGAGCTCAAGGAGCGAGCCCCCACCCCGCCCCACCACCCCTCCCCCCATGCACACCCTGCCACCACCACCACCCCACCCACCCTCGGTCTGCTCGTACTGCGTCGCCGCGACGCCAGCCCCACCGACTCTGTTGCCAGCCCCATGCGGGGATGCGCCGACACGCGCTCTTGCTCCCATCGAACAAAGAGCGAACGGCGTCCGCAGCCCTCCCGGACACCGCTGCTTCCTCGCACCCGATCCCCGCAGGAGAAGCTCGAGGCTGCAGGCGGTACCGTCGTTATTGAGTAGGAGGTGATCTCACATAATACCTATGATTTCGGATGGTCGTGGGTGACATCTCGACGCGAGGCACCTAATATATAGAGTACCTTCGGCCGGGCGGAGGCGCGGGCGAGCGAGACCGAGCGGCGCGGGCGAGTCGAGTCACTGTTGGCTAGAGCGTACTACAAGGGCGTGTAGTGCGTGCAGCTTTGTGTGTGGCTCTCTAAGTACACAGAAAAAAAAAGTTGTGTGCGGCCGCGAGCCGAACGAGGTCGTCGCACGTCGGCGCCGGGCACCGGGACACTACTGGGCTGGGTTTTTAGGCATTGTGGGGGGTTGGCACTCCCATCGACCCTCATGACCTCCTGCGGTCTCTGAGATGGACACCAGTGGGTGTGGGACCACAGCCAGGATACACTCGAAGGCTGGGTAAGCAGTAGAGGTCGATACTCGACGCGTCCCACATGGTCTGTGTCGCTGTCGGCACGCTGTCGACAGGACGTCGAGCGACACCGGTGGCAGTGCCACCCAGGAGTGGTCGGGCGGTCTCCCGTCATGAGAGAGCCACCATGTGATCCGTATGATGGTTCCTGACAACCGCCTCAGTCACTTTTCGTCACAGTTCCCGCTCTGAGAGGAGCTGCGGGTCAGTTCGACAGCTGGAGCTGTGTCGCCGGCGTGCGGCGGCCTGCCTCCGGAGGTGCCTCTGAGGTGGACATTTGTTGGTCACCGTGAGAGAACGCGTTCGAATTTTCACTCGGGAACTTCAACTGAGCACGCGCACCGGCCAGGGCTACAATAGTGCCAGTGAGGCGGAGGCGCGAGTCGGAAGGCCGCGACTGTGATTTGGTTTCGACATTTTCCTACAATCGCGAGAGAGCCCGTCCCGTCCAGCTTCGCAGTGCCTTGCTGATGAGCCAAGTCGCGCTCCTCATCTCGCTTGCCTTCAACCAGTGCAGCGTTTGTCCGACAAATACCAGACAAATGCGACTCGACCAGTTTTGCCATCTGCCAGTGTCGCAGCCGCTCAAGCGCCGGCCGCGGGGAGAGGCCGGGGCCGCGGTCGAGGGGGCCCATGGTCGCGCCGCCCCGCTCCGCCCCGCCCGCCGCCGCGCCGCGCCGCCGCCCGATGATTATTAAGTAATAATGAATTAACAAATAATTAATTACCCCACCCGCCGCCGCGCCGCCCCGCCCTGCGCCGCCCGCTGCCTCGCCACGCCGCCGCCTCGCGCTGCCCGCCGCCGCGCCGCTCCGCCGCCCGAGGATTAATATTTAATAATTATTACCCGATTAATAACGTGTGTGTGTTTGTGTGTGTGTGTCTGTGTGTTTGCCTGATGGCAGTGAAGTCCAAGGCAGCGGCGAGCGGCAGGTGGCGTCGGCGACGTACTCAGGACACGATGGCGAAGCCCACAGCGCAGCATGCGCGGCAGCAGCTCGCCGGCGGCCCGCGTACTCGACCCCTAAATAAACTCAAAGTCCACCACAGCCTCCAGCCACCGCCTCCACCCTCGAGCCGCCACCGCTGCCGCTCTCGACGCCGCCCACCGCGTCAGATTCCAGCGACGCGCGCGGTGAGCCGAGTCGCGGAGCCACGCCGCACCAGCAGCAGCATCAGCACCATCAGCACCAGCAGCAGCAGCAGCAGCAGCAGCACCAGAGAGAGAATAGCGCCTGCCGCTCTCACGCAGCCCGCAATCCTCCTGCCGTGCGCGATCGACGCTCGCAGACCTCCGCGTATAGCACCGCGCAGTCTCCTCGAGGACCAACGCAGTCCAATCCACCAGTGCAGGATGTTTACAGCAGTGCAGCATGAGGCGCCCGCAGAAGCGCTCGCAGAGCGGTGCGCAGTTTCCTCAATTGGCTTGATTTTGCTTAGTAGAAAAAAGAATAGCGCCGGCCGCGAGCCGTCGGAGCGGGCATTTCGAAGTGGTCAGCGGGCATTTCGAAGTGGTGTGGCGGCAGGCTGCCACCGCTGCCCGGGCGCCCCGAGCGGCGGCGGAGGGCCGCCCAGGCCACCACCAGTGCCCCTCCCACCGGCGGCGCGGCGGCAGCGGTGCCGACCGCCCCTCCATCAGCGGCGGCGCGACGGCTGTCGTCGGGGCGCCGGCAGGTGCCGCGCGCAGATCGTGCCACCGGACCGGCCGACGCGCGCCCGGCGGAGCCTTCGTCGTCCACGGCGGGCCGAGCACCCCCGCGTCGCTTCTCGGCGCATTGGAGAGCAGAGGAAGCTGCTGGCGTCGCCGCTGGGATCGGCGGCGGCGCCAGCAGCGTTCTCGGATCTGAAGCCGACTTTGAGCGCCGATCGATCGATCTGAGGGCTTGCCGATGGGTGGCGCTGGGACATCGCCGCCGCCGCGGAGGCCGGCGGCGACCAGAGGAGCGGTTGGGGCGCGTGGCGCATATGTTACCTGCCAAGTGAGCCTGCAAGTGTGTTTCGAGATTTATTCGAGATTTGAAACTTAGATTTCACTTTTCAGTGGGGAGGTGGCAGACCTGATCTTAGAATCGCTCACGCGCCTCGCCACCCACCGCGTATTCGTGCTTTTTTTCCGCACAAGCAAAACCATGGCTGCCGAAGGTAACGTGGTGGGTTTGCCCTCCCCTGCCGCCACAATTCCGCCGCAAAGGGGGGATGCTCCCGAGTGAGAGGGGGGGAGGGCCCCCCCCCCCCCCCCGCCCGCGCCCTTCCTTCTGCGCAGTACATGGCAAAGCTTGCTGAGCAAGCCGAGCGGTATGAGGAAATGGTGGAGTTTATGAGGGTGGTCGCCCAGTCCAAGTCCGAGGACCTCAATTTGGAGGAGCGCAACTTGCTGTCTGTTGCCTACAAAAACGTCGTGGCGCTCGCCGTGCTCC